CGATGACGATGACGATGACGATGACGGTGATGATGATGATGATGATGATGATGATGATGATGATGACGATGACGATGACGATGACGATGACGATGACGATGACGATGACGATGATGATGATGATGCTGATGATGATGATGATGATGATGATGATGATGATGATGATGATGATGATGATGATGATGATGATGAGATGGGGGATGATGCTGGTGATGAGGAGGAGACATGGAAGGAGGAGAAAGAGGAGACGGAGGGGATGGAGGGGGAGAACAAGGGGGAGCGGGAAGAGGAAGAAGAAGATCAAGAAGAACTCCTGCTCTTCGTCGGTGTCAGACATTGTAGCCGTCCCGGAAGCCCTGAGTCCGAACATATTGCCATCTATCAGAGAGGGCTGATGCTCGCTTCCGCGGGCTTCCGCCGGCGCAGCCGCCCTCGCTTCACTTCCGCGGCCCCCTGCCAGCCTCCCGCCGAGAGCGGGATGCCGGCTCCTCCGAGCCTCGAAGGCGATGCCCTGCCCGGAACGCCTCGGAGGGAGCAGGGAGGGGGGGGGGGCGGAGCAGCAGCAGGGCCCGTCGGGTGCAGCAGGTCCGCTCGTCTGCGGGGCGGGGGAGCGCTCAGCGACCATCGCCAGCAGGGAGGGCCCGCGATGGCTTCCGCCACACGGGGAATCCGCTCGGGGGCGTGTGGGGTGGGCAGCAGAGAACGCAAGCTGTGCCGCCTCTGACTCAGAGACGCACCAAATACGGGCAGTGCGACGCGCCCGTGGCGAGTCACTGGAACTTCTTGACGCGCTCCTGCATGGGGCGCCCCTTGAAGTGGTCGCAAAACCATGTAGTCAAACCTGTTGGTGAACCTGGCTGTTTCTTTCTGTTCGTTGGTGAGCTCGACCACGTGAGTGGAAGGCCTCTTGTATGCCGTATTGTAGAACTCTTGGCGCCAACCGATCGCGGTCTCGAGGTACGCCTTGTTCTCGAAGTCATCCGCGAACATCACGACCTCGAATTTCGATAGGCGCTCGATCGCCTTGTGCGCATGCTCCTCGGTAATGCCCCCTGCAGGGAGCGACCAAACTGACTGACCACCAAGGGTCCGGACGAGGAAGTTGTCGTAGAACCACCACAGTTTCCAATCGTTCTTTTTGGGAGCTGCACGATCGCAAGCCTGGGTCAGATCGGAATCGCCTTCCCTCCCCACAAGACAGTTCAAGGATGCAATCGTCTCCTCTGGTGAATACTTCTCCATGCTCGCCTTGGAGATAGCGAGTGCGCTTGGATCTCGGAGAAGGATGCCATAATTAAACTGCCCATGACATAGATTGTAGTCGTCCATCTCATGCTCGACCTGAGCCCATGTGACATTCGACCAAGCAAAGTACTCGGCTCTCTTTGAGCAGTTGGCGCGCCATGCTTTCCCCCTCCTGACTGCGTCGGGCGTGTCGTACGGCCACCAGTTCCCGTTGAAGCTCGGCCGCACAACGTTCTCGTGGTTCAGGAGTGCCATGGAGTAGATGAAAATTCCCATTGACTTGTGGATGTGGACCCAGATGACCGGCTTCGTGTGAGACACGTTGGCGCGAGGCACCTGTCCTTCGTGAGGAGTATTGGCCAGGGGATTGCCTTTCACGCGAGCGTCCACCTGCAGTGCCCTGGCGCAGCCCTCGGCGTCGAAGCCCAGCTCGCCCATGTCCTCGGCCAGGAGGTCGTAGTCGAGGCAGCCCGGGGAGGCCGCGCCACCGCGAGGGCAGCTCGGCAGCCCCAGCGCCGCGAGGCAGGCCTCCTTGACAGGGCCCTGGGGCCCAGGGACACACACAAATAGACACACACACACACAGACACAGACACAGACACAGACACAGACACAGACACAGACACAGACACAGACACAGACACATATCCCAGGATCCCCCCTCTTTTTCCCCACTTTCGGGGTGTTCGTCTTCCCCCCCCCGCTGCCCACACATTCTTCCCAGATCCTCTGGGGGATCGGCGACTCCCTGTGCCTGCCTGCTTCCTCCCCTCCCCTCCGGGCTCCTGCACCCCGGCGCCGGCCGGCGCCCCGTCGGGGTCGGCGCCCTGCTGGCCAAGCGTCAGCGCCTGCGCGCCCAGGCGGAGCGCGGGCGCCGCCGCCAGGAGCGCGAGCGGGCGCATGGCTGGCGTAGTCTCCTGGGGCTGGCGGCGAGCGCGGGGGGGGATAGCGAGGAGGGGCGGGCCTCCTCGGAAGGCTCGGGAGTTCCCTGGCCTTCCGATTAAGCTTCCTAGGCCTTCCCCGGCGACGCAGAAAACTTCCCAGAAGGCGCGAGGGCCTCTGAGGAGGGCCGCCGCTTCTGAGAAACGGCCTTCTACTTCTGGTTTCCCCCCCTCGCTCGCCGCCGATGGAGGCCCGGAAGTTGTGTATGTTGATGCTGGTGCTGGAGGCGCGGTGCGGTCTCGGAACCGTCGTGGACCAGGGGTCGGCGTGACTCCTGGTGGCTTGTCCCAAAGTGGTTTGGGCAGAAAGGGCTGCGGCCGAGGCCTGATCTGATGCGCCCGCCGCATGCACCACCACAGCGCCTGGTCAGGGCCCAGGATGGCCCTTGCCAGGCACGACTCCTGCGGACCTCCCTTCCTCTTCCCCCCTGTCCAACCCCCTGGCGGCTTGAAGACAACGCGCCGGGAGCGTCTCGCCCATTCTCGGCATACTGGGGACCACTTCGGGGCCCAGCGGCCGTAGGCAAAAACTGTTCTTGCTCAGGAGGAAAGATCCGCCCTCGGGAAGAGGTCGAGAGCTCTTGAAGGGGCCCAAGGACACACAAATAAATAGACACGGTTCCCAGGATTCCCTATCTTTTGGCAGATTTTCTGGATGTGCACATTCCCCTCCTCTTCCAATTTGCTCCACATTTTCTGCGGAGCCGGCCATCATTTGTGTCTCTGTATCTTCGTTCCCTCCTGAGCCCTGGGGGCTGGCGACCCGACAGAGACCACGGCGTCGGAAGTCCGAACCACTCTCCCGCCCTGCCCGCCTCCCCCAAGAGGATCCTCTCCAAGACGAAGGATTGACTTCCACTCTGGAGGCTGTCTGTCTCAAGCCTGAAAGTTTCCTCCTCTACGGTCGGACCAACAGTATACACGTCGCTCATGTCTAATCGTGCTCATTTTTTAGCCGTGGCAATGCTACGCGGCGCATCGGCTGCACGCGAGCTGTGGCGGCGGGCGGCCGCTAGGCCACCCCGTAAAAGGTGCGGACCTCACCGTCTGTGAGCCGCACAGCCGCCTCGGCAACTCGCACACCCGCCTGTGTGGGGTGCCATCCACCGAGCAGCTTCATCTTTGCGCTGGTGAACTGCTTCGATGCCGTCTGACCTCGGCATCGGTCTCCCAATGAACGAAAAACACGCCCTGAGCAGAGCACTCCACAACGGCCACAAAATGTGAACGGCCCCGCTCTGTACAGCCGATGCCCCTGCGCAGGATCTAACATCCTGCTGGCCACGCTTCCATTAGCACGGGCTGGTCCCGTGCTCGTGCTTGGCCCCTCTGGCGGTGGGGGAGGCGCATCAGCAGGGGCTTGCGCTGCCTGCGCGGGCGGCTGGGGGCTAGGCATCAAGGCGCCTCTGCCACGGCTGCGGCTCCTTTGCACCTGCGCGCCTACACCACCGCCGCGCCCAGAGCCACCCTCATACGTCACTCTCTGCCGCACTCCAGGGCACCGCTGTCGCGAGTACTGCATCGCACGGGCCCCCAGCACCTTGGAGCGCGCGCCGCAGTCCAGGCATCTGTGCCACTGGCCCTCCGTGACGATGTTGTGCCTCCTGATGGTCGGGTCCCGCGGCCGTCCCCGCGCCGCTTGGCCATCGGCCGCGCACGGCCCTGCGGCTGCACTGCCCCCGTCGGAGTCCTCGATGGGGTCGTCCTCCATCATCTCGCCACCGGCTGGCGCGGCTGCTGCCGTTGGCTGAGTCGCCACCCTTGCGGCCTCCCCTGCTGCAGCAGCCACCTCCTCAGGCGATGCGTCTGCTGCCGCTGCCGCTGCCGCTGCCGCCGCCACAGCTGCCGCTGCCGTAGCCGTGGCATCCCCTGCCGATGTCATGGCAGGCCTGGTCTCTTCAGCCTCGGGCTGCCGTCCTCGCAGCTGGGCTTCTCGTCTGCGCTGCGCCCGCGCCTCCTCTTTTGTGGGCAGCACGACGTCCCCGAAGTCGCCGACCTCGACTGCCATGTCTGCCACGTAGTCAAGCACCTGCTGCACCGTCTTCCAGCGGTCCTGCCAGGCGTCGATCTGCCACTGCGACGGCATGGCCAGCTGCGCTCCTTCGACCGCCAACTCATCGGCGATCTTGTTGCCGTGCACGTGGAACGCATTCTGCCCTCTGCCATGCGCCCGCACATGCATCACCTTGAGCCCGTCCATGTTCGGGAAGGTCTCATCCACGACATTCCAGATGCGCATCCAGATGTCGCAATTGCTCCTCTGCGGCGCCGTACACCACAATCGGCCCATTCTCATGCCTCCCACGGCCATCTCGTAATCTGTGACCAGCGTGGTAGGGGCCGTCGCCCTCCTCAAGGCATACCAGATGGCCTGGGGCGCGGCCCGCCTCGCCGATAGGTCAGCTCGTACTCCTGGCATGCTTCCATATGCTCCACCAAGCGCCGTATACTGCCCTTCGTCAGCAGGCTCCTCAAACCACATGTAGCCCCAGCTGTAGCCCTTGAGCATGCTGGCGCCTTTGCCCGAGCCGTCGGTGAAGCAGACCCCCGAGATGAACGGCATGACGTCGTCCTCATCGATGCTGTCGCCCTCTGCGTTGACCGAGTGGCACTGCTCAATCTGGGTGTCGCCCTCGACGTCCTGGATGGGATGCGCCACCAGGCCGCAGTTGAGCAGCAAGCTCTCGCCTGTGCCCGCCATGCGCAGCACTATGCCCGAATGCTTGTCCGCAAGCTTGGTCCTGCTCTCTTCGTGGGCCTCGCAGCGCCCAAAGCGGCGCCTCTGAGTGCCCTGCGCGCGCCTGCGCTGCTGGCACATGCCATCGGCCACCGTGCCGCGCTGCTGGAGCTTGGCCTGCGTGCAGTAGCCCTGCCCCACATAGGCCTTGATAGCACCTTGGTGCGCAGCCCACTTACGCTTCTTGAGCAGCGCCCTCACTGGTTCCAAGAACGGCATCGGGACCTCCTCTGCGATGCCCTTCTCATTAGCCCACTTTGTGAGGACCTGGCGCTCGATGGCCCTCTCCAGCTTGTGCCTGATCGTCTTAGGCGCCACCGTGTGCAATGGCACCTGGACGCCTGCTGGTGTGAGCAGCGTCCACGGGGCAGGCCATGACCAGCCGAGGTCCCGCAGGGTCCTCAGGACTGCATCAGCTGGCCCTCTGACTGCCGACCATGCCATCTTGCCTGTCGTGGCCAGCCGCGCCGACGCCTTCTTCCATGCCGCGGCCATAGCCTCCTCGTCCATGGCCCTACTCCATACCACTTCAACCCACTTTACCACTGGCCACATGGTAAGACTCACCGCTGGGTCGGCCTCCTCAAGCCATAAGCGCAGGGTGCGATCTTTGCCCATGGCCTCGCCGCTCATCGCCATCGACATGTTGGCGCGAGCCCTTTCAATGAGCTTCGGCGGCGCTCCGATGCAGGCCACCCCGTATCGCATGGGCGGCACGAAACCAGCTTTGCTACCTTGGCTGTGCCAAGGCTGGCGCCCTGCTTCTTCAGGATATTCAACTTAGTACCTCTCGTGACCATGACCTCAACGCGCTCCTGCTGCTTGGGCCGCCGCTGTGCGCCCACGCCACCTGTGAAGTCCACGCCCAGCTGTACGCCCTCTTCTTGGACCTCCAGGCCCCAGCCCTTGGCCCAGAGCTTGAACATGGCCTTGGCCTGCTTGTCTGCCGTGTAGACATAGCTTTGTCCTTTCTTGGTGACTCCTTTCTTGTGCGTGGTGGGCGACAGCGGTAAGCCTTCTGCCTCAGCTGCTTGTATGTATGCCTTCGAGGACTCCTTCGCCTCTCGTACCACTGCCTCCCGCTCGCCCTGCAGGTGGAGGGTGGTGTCACCGACGTATAGCTTGACATACCTCTTGGCCCCCTCAATGCACGGCCTAGCGCTGACCATGTCCAGCAGGATTATGGTGAAGCACTTTAGCGCCCGTGTGCCTCCTCGACTGCCTGCAACCGCTGCCGACCACGTACGCATCCGCGTAGAGACAACCATACCATCCAGCGTAACGACCCTCCCCATTGTGAAGATCGAGATCATGAAGTGGAGCACCTGCTCTGGCATCCCCAGCTTGCGCCCGTGCTCCCACAGGCGCCTCGTGGTGACGTGTTCAAACGCCTTGTACAGGTCATTCACCACAGCCGCGTTGATGTGGTCCTCAGGGCAGCTCTCGTCCCTGAGCATTAGATCCCACATCGCGTCTTCAGCGCCTTTACATCTGCAAGCCCAGTCATAAGGCCGTGCAACCATCTCTTCCCATTTGCGATACTCATCTGCCATCAACGTTTCAACCGCCCCCACCAGGGAGCATAACAGGGCCAGCGGGCGGCGCCCATCCTCGTGCGGCTTCGGCACCAGGAAGTAGGCCAACAGCTCAACCTGGGTAGGCCAATGCACGTAGTGGAGTATGTATTCCGCGAGGCCAACCAGCGCCGGGGTGCCCTCTGACGGTAGCCGCGTCCACCATCTCGGGTGCCACCAGTCAGGGCCTATGCCAGTACTTGTTTTGAACAACCTGGCCGCTTCCCTGAACCGATCTGCCGTGACTCTGACCAGTGGCGCAGGGTAAACTCGTCCTTCCCAAGGTCGGTCGTGCTCCCCTCGGCCGTCGGCCCCGTGCGAGGTCCATAGCTGGCACCACTGGTGGGCATGCCCATCCACCAGCGTCTGTCCGTCAAGCAACTCCAACGCGTCCTTCTTGTAGTTCGCGGTGGGCGCAGGGGGTCGCTCAGCATGGCGCTGGCGAGCCATGCGGTGCAAGAAACCTGCTGCACCCTTGCTGCCGCCCTTGGGTCTGCCCCTCCACGCTTTGGCCCTTTCCTGAGCCACAGTGCTCACTATCTTGTTTGCCTGCTTGAGCAGCCACCGCCGTATCTCCATGACTGCTGCGAGCCGATCTTCAGCGCCATCCTCATGTAGCCGCCAGCGCTCGATGCCGAGTAGGAGGTAGTCTAGCCACTGTCCCGTGGCCCCGAGCTGCCGCAATCGGTGTCGCCCTCGGTGCAAGGCCCTGTCCAGGCACTCGCGTAGCCATGCCACCCGAGCTGGGTCTGGGCGCTTCGCCCTGGCTGCTTGTGCCACCAGTATATGGCTGCCGATCCTGTTGGCCGCCCAGCGCCAGGCCGTGGCCTCCACAGTCTGCCCAACGCCATCCCTTGCCTTGGGGCCCAGGAGCGGCGTGAGCACCGTCTTCGGCGAATCACCTCGGCCGCGGTACCGTGGGCGCTCCTCCTCTGGAATCTGGCAGATGCCCATGAGCTCCTCCTCTGCCGTGCGCGAGATCTGGCACCAGTCGTTGTCCAGG